CACACACACACACACACAGCACCACCTATTCAGGATGGGTCAGGGTGGAACCTCACACACAGCACTGCCCAGTCAGGGGATGGGTCAGGGCAGACACACACACACACACACACACACACACACGCACACACAGTACTGCCCAGTGAGGGGGCTGGCCAGGATGGAGCCTCCCAGCATGCCTGGTGATCAGGTGGGGAGGATGGAGCCTCCCACCGCGGGCCCAGTGAATGGGTGAGGGTGAACCACACATGCAGCAGGCTTGGATGGCCCTTCTTTGTTGTTATGTGCCATGGAGTCAGACCCAACTCGTAGCAACCCCTCCTTGGGTTTCTGGGGCAGTATCATTATGGAAGTAGATTGCCCAACCTTCCTTCCGAGGACTGGCTGGTGGGTTTGAACCGCCAGCCTTTTGGTTAGCAGTCAAGTGCCTTAGGCACTGGCCCTTTCTGGGTGAGTGCATATTATGGGAACCACTGTGGGAACTGTCCCCAGCACCTGCCTGGTCCAGAATGTTCCAGTGGTCTCGGTTTGCTGCCCCCAGGCCTGCTTTGTTAACGTGGGTCCCACGCAGGAGCAGGTCAGGGAGCTGGGCTGGGTTGGGCCCATTGGGGGCTGGTCTGTCTCCAGGCGCTTGGTCTCTAAAGCATACAGAGTGCTGCCCTTGGCCTTGATGGGACTGAGGCCACTGAAGCCAAGTGTGCTGATGCAGAACAAGGAGGCTGCTGGGCTGCACGCATGCGCCACACAGGCCGCAGAGCACTGAGGCAGTGTGCTTGAGGGCTCAGTGTTGGGTCTTGCACTTGGGGACTGGGGAGGGCAGTGTGCAGGTGGCCAGGCTGATGGCAGCAGGAATGTGCTCTGGTGCTCCAGGGTTGGGTGCTAGGCCAGACCATGCGTGCTGGCTGGCCACCCAGTGCTGCTAAGCCTGGAAGGCAGGGCTGGAAGGCCATACCCAAGGCCTCTAGGAGATGCCCAGGCCCAAATAGCATGAGTGCACTCTTGGTGAGAGGCCTCTGCTCCTCTCTGGGCCCCTCAGCTTGGGCACAGCCAGGATCCTGGGCGGGAGGAAGCAAGGACAGCTCTGTCACCATGCGCCCCAGTATGGTGGAGTGCAGGCCTCCCTACTGTGGCAGGGTGTGTGCCCCTGCCTGCAGGAAGGCCTGCAGAGGTGCGCATGTGGATCTGACATCCCCCAGCAGCCCAGATCTTAGGGCAGGGTCCTTGAGGGGAGCTGATGTCACTCAGCATCACTCCCTGTGTATGGACGGCAGAGCCTGGAGAGCCCGGAGCTGCGAGCCATCGTGCACGACTTGCTGACGACAGTGGAGGAGCTGTGTGACCAGAATGAGTTCCATGGCTCGCAGGAGAGATACTTCGAGCTCGTCGAGAGATGTGCTGACCAGAGACCGGTGAGACTTCTCCTGGGGTGAGGGCCTTCAGAGGTTGTGCACACACAGGGGTTGCTGGTCTGAAAAAGCTCATCGGGTGTCTGACGTGAAGGGTGCAGGCTTTGTGTGATGGTGGGGTTGTCAGCCAGCGCGCCGGCAGGAATCTGATGGGAGCTCAGCGCCAGCCTCACCCTCCGTTCCCTCCCACCTGCGTGGAGACGTTCTGCTGGGGGCACTCCCCTGGTCTCTGGGCTTCCTTGTTTGGGGTTTGGTGGTGTTCTCTGCTGCAGGAGGGCCTCTGTTGTGCTGTGCCAGCTCCGGCCTGGGCTGCGGGGGCTGCTGTCACTCAGCAAGTGCTGTCCCTATGTCAGTGCTGGGCACACACCATCACTCCAAACCGTCCTCCCCTTTCAGGAGTCCTCCCTTCTGAACCTGATCTCGTACAGGGCGCAGTCCATCCATCCGGCCAAGGATGGCTGGATTCATAACCTGCAACAGTTGATGGAGAGGTTCTTCAGGTACTGGCCCCGACCCGAGGCCTTGCTCTTGCTGTCAGCAAGGCCCAGTTATCATGGAGCAGGGCGAGGCTTTTTTCCATCAGTGAGGCCACAGGGTGTGTGACCCCTGCAGGGTCATCTGTGGGGGGGTGGGACTACAGGCCGAGGAGAGGGCGGGGCTGGTGGGGGACGTGGGCGGCGGTGCCTGGACAGCGGCCCGGCGGCTCCATCTTCACTCAGGAGCGAGTCCCGCAGTGCTGTGCGCATCAAGGTGCTGGACGTGCTGTCCTTCGTGCTGCTCATCAACAGGCAGTTCTACGAGGTGCGTGGGAGGTCAGGGTGCCGAGGGCACACGCACCCCGGGCAGACGGCGCACCTCACTCCTGTTGTGTTACAGGAGGAGCTGATCAACTCAGTGGTCATCTCCCAGCTCTCCCACATCCCGGAGGACAGAGACCCCCAGGTCCGCAAGCTGGCTACCCAGTTGTTGGTGGACCTGGCGGAAGGCTGCCACACCCATCATTTTAACAGTCTCCTGGACATCATTGAGAAAGTGAGGGCTGTTTGGGCTAGGGTGCCAGGCACACTGACCTGCAGCCTCTCAGGCTGGGGTGGCTGGGCAGAGTGACCCGTGGCTGACTTGGGCTGGCTCCCTCCCTTCAGAGCTGGGGCATCAGGGACCACCTACCGAGGCTACTGTTGAGCCCAGCATATTGGCTGGACCCTTGGGAGCTGGGTGGGGGCTGCTGTCCTCTGTGCACCATGCATGTTTGCAGCTTCTGACGGCTGCTCTGGCATGCAGGGAAGAGGGAGGGTGTGTCCCTGGTGGCCTGGGTGTGACCTCAGCTGCCTGGGGAGTGGGAGTGAGACCCAGCTCTTTCCAAGGTGATTGCTCGCTCCTTATCTCCTCCCACTGAGCTGGAGGAAAGAGGCGTGCCTGCGTACGCGGCATCCCTGGAGGACGTGAAGACCGCAGTCCTGGGGCTCCTGGTCATCCTTCAGGTGTGCTCTGCCTGCGGGATGGTGGCCGGCGACGGCCAGCTGCGCCTTGTTGAATTGGGTTTCCTGGGGTAGCTCGGCTTTCCTGAGGGCCCAGAGGGCACGGTGGTTGCGACCCTGACTCCTCAGTCACTAGGGGCCCCGGGAGTCTCTGAACAGGCAGGTTGGAGACCTGGCCACCGCCCAGGGGACTGGGGTTGTGGTCCTGGTCCCCAGAGTCTGTGTCGCAGCAGGCCCGCCCTCCTCACCGACTGCATGTGCTCCCTGCAGACCAAGCTCTACGCCCTGCCAGCCAGCCACGCAGCACGTGTATATGAGATGCTTGTGCACCACATCCACCTGCACTACAAGCACACGTACAGCCTGCCCATCGCCGGCAGCATCCGGCTCCAGGTGGGCTGGCACCAAATGCCAAGTGGGCCTGGCACAGCAGGGCCCTTCAGATTTCCCCAGAGGCCCTGAGACTGGACAGGGCAGCAGGTGGCCCCTAGTGGGGGCTGTAGCTGACAACTACCTCATCAGATCTAGCGGGGCCCTGCCTCCGCATGACCCTTGCCTCATCTGTTGCCTTGACGCCTCTGCTGCCTGACCCTCTGCGTGTTCTGTGGGTCCAGAGCTAGGGCAGAGAAGGGACCTTGCAGCACAAGGGCCTGGTACTGTAGTCCCAGGCACCCCTGGAACTGGAGATGAGCAGGGGAGGGAGGGGCCTGCTGCTTCCAGTTCCCCAGCCGTCCTTGCCTGTCTGGTGCCCATCCGGTGCCCAGCGTGGGGTGGATACACAGTCCCAGAGCGTCTGCCCAAGGGGCAGCCCCCTCTCGTGTGTAGCCCCTCATGATTGACTGGCTCACTGGAGGGTGTGACCATGCTCCATGCAGAGCTCTGGTTGTGCCCTTAGCAGGCTTCCCAAGGTGTGGGCCTCCAAGGCTCATCCCGCTGTGGGCCTGTCACTGGGCCGGCAGCCTGAGCTGACTCGCTCCCTTCAGCTCATCTCCTCCCCTGCTGCCTATGCCCCGCCCCACCTGTCCCTCTCCCCTCCTGTCCCCTTCCCATCTCCCTCCTGCCCACCTGCCCCCTGCCTTTCTCTCCTCTGCTTGCCTCCCCTTGGCTGTCTCCCCCACCTGCCTGCCCCTCCCTACCTTCCCCTGCCCGTCTCCCCCTGCCTCTGTCCCTCTGTCCTGCCCGTCTCCCACTGCCCGCCTGCCCCCTACACCTCCCTGCCTCCGCCTGCCCCCTGCCTGCCTCCCCCATGCCCACCTCCCCCCACCCATCTCCTCCGGGGCTCACTTGGCCTGTGACAGAGCCTGGTGGTGACAGGGTAGACATGGTCAGTGCATTGCTGGAGGCACAGCATTCGTTTTTAAGGTCAGGGTGAGGGTGCCTGGGCCCAGGGAGAGGCGCCCTCTGCCCCTGTGTGTCCAGCCTTGGTGAGACTTCACCTCTCTGTTCCTGCCAGGCCTTCGACTTCCTGCTGCTGCTGCGGGCAGACGCGCTTCACCGCCTGGGCCTGCCCAGCAAGGACGGCGCCGTGCGCTTCAGCCCCTACTGCCTGTGTGACTACGTGTGCGTGTGGTGGGCCCTGCGCGGCTCCTGGCTCCTTGACACGCAGGCGGGCCGCTCTGGGGCGGGCGGGGGATTCAGGGTGCTGCTCGCGTGGGTGGTCGTGTCTGAGGGGTGATGCGTGTCTGTACTGATTCTGCTGGGAGGCATGACTGGCCCTCAAGCCGGGAGAGGTACCATCCTCTCCCCTGGGGGTGGGGACGCACGGGGGCTTCACCCTCTGCTGTTTCTGTCACCTGCCCCCCAGGGAGCCAGAGCGAAGCTCAGAGAAGAAGACCAGCGGACCCCTCTCGCCTCCCACAGGGCCTCCTGGCCCGGCGCCCACGGGCCCGGCGGTGCGGCTCGGCTATCTGCCTTACTCCCTGCTCTTCCAAGTCCTGCTGCAGTGTTTAAAGCAGGTGAGAGGGGCTGTCTGCCCACACCCTCTGGCCCCGAAGTCCCATTAGATCTAACTGAGCATCAGTGGGTGTTCGAAGGTATGTCTGGTTTTTGGCCCAAACCTGCTCCTGCAAGTCTTCCTGCTGCCTCGGGGCGACGGCTCTTGGTCAGAGCTGCTGGCCCCACGGGCCCGTGGCAGTGCTGACCCTGCGTCGAGTGCCTGCTGACGTCCTCGTGTGGAGCTGAAAGCAGGTCCTGCCTCAGCGAGATGGTTTGGAGATTTGAGAACGGTGTGGAGACATAAGCCAATCCTAGGTTGAACGGACCTGTGAGGAAGACATTCACAGCTGTGTGGGTCACAAGGTGGCTGCAGCTCCACGTGGTCGGGCTCCCAGGAAGGTCTTGTGAGGGGCAGGTGGGGCCGTTCTTTTGAGGCAGGGAAGGTTCTGGAGGCAGGTGTGAGTAAAGCCTGGACATGTGGTAGGTGCAGTCCTAGGAGATTGGAGGTGTCGCTTGGGCTGAGTTGGGGGGCCTGAGGATTTAGGCCTGTTCTGTGGTGGAGCCGGTGGGAGATTTTGAGTGGGAAGAAGTGATCAGGGGCCCACCTGAGGACGTGGTGGGGCTGCTGGGGTAAAAGGGGGGTGAGAAGGAGGTGCGGTGGGTGGGTGGAGGTGCCAGGAGGGCCTTCTGCAGCCCCAGGATGAGCTGAGGAGAGAGGATGCAGGTGGTGGGGTGTGGGCTGGGCCTCCAGGAAGAGATGGGCTTTGGTACCTGGGACCACCGCTGGTGGCCGGGAGGGCCCCCCGCATCACTGAGGCCTGAGAACAGGCCATTAGCGTAGCTTATGGGTCGGGCTGGTCTGGAGGGCTTGCTGGCGACTCTCGGCTGGATTCTGTGATCTGCGGCCATGGGGCGGCTTTAGTACCAAGCACGGCAGGCTTGTGAGTGGCCGAGGGGATGCAGTCTTTCCTCCTCCTCTGTGGTTCTTTGCTGCCGCGTCTCTGTTATAGGAGATGATGACCCCGTGCTCCGGGCACCTGCTGGGAGGCAGGGAGGGCTGACTTTCTCTGGCAGGATGTTTTGGACATAGACCTGTGGGTGGGCAGCCCCGGGTCGTTGCAGAGAAACTGCAGGGAGAAGGGAGCCAGGAGCGTGCCCTTCTCTGGGAGCAGATGCACTCTCTGTGGGCAGCACCTGGGATGTCGGGGGCAGGGCTGAGGCTCAGCCAAGGCTGAGGACGGGGTGGGGGCTCGTCCCCAAGGTCTCTTCAGTCCAGCTTCAGTCCGACTGGGAAATGCTGTTTGCTCTGCCCAGAGCCCTAGAGACCCTGCCTGCCCCCACTCCCCGATGGTGGGCTCAGATGCACCTCTGTCCCCCCCCACCTGGGCTCAGAGGCCCTGCCCCTCCTTCCCACCCACCTGGTCCCCTCCCCCACGTACCTGGGCTCAGAGGCCTCCCCCCTGCAGGAGACGGACTGGAAAGTGCTGAAGTTGGTGCTCAGCAAGCTGCCAGAGTCCCTGCGCTACCAGGTCCTGATCTTCACCTCGCCCTGCAGCGTCGACCAGCTGTCCTCTGCCCTCTGCTCCATGGTAGTGCAGCCCACGCTCGTCTGGCGCCGGGTCTAGGGTGGGGTAGGGCCAACAGCTCTGTTCTTTCTCCACAAGACAGCCACTCCCACGAGGATCCAGGGAACAGGCCAGCCTGTGAGCCTGGCTCCTGGGTCTGGCTTGGCCTGCCTCAGCCAAGGGTGACCACCAACAGGTCCGAGATGCACTGGGAGGTGGCCACCCGCCCCTGGGCTGATCATGCAGTACCCAGCGCAGGGTTGAACTTAAGCTGCCGAGTGAGGCCCTCTCATCACTGCTCTGGGGAAGGGACCTGTGGCCAGAAGAGAAAATCCAGATCCTTGATCCTCTGCTCACAGCCCCCGGGTGCCTGAGGCTGGGCTTACTGACGCCTGGGGCCCTGTGGTTAGCTTACAGGCCCCAAGACCCTGGAACGGTTGAGAGGCACCCCAGAAGGCTTCTCCAGAACCGACTTACACTTGGCGGTGGTGCCGGTATTAACGGCATTGATCTCTTACCACAACTACCTGGACAAGACCAAGCAGGTGCGAGATGGGGGTGGGTGGGAGAGTCCCAGCGTCTGGAACCTGACAGCCTGGTCCCGTGGACACTGGCTGGCTCCCCTTGCCCACGTGGCCGCTGGGCTTGGCCCCAGAGTATGGCAGCAGAACCTGCCAAAGCTCTTGAGTGGAAGGGCCTGGGGGGGTCTCGCTTTTGTGAGGCATGTGGACGTGGACACCCCCTTCAGCTGTGGGGCGAGCACTGCCTGTTTTTTTTTTTTTTTCCCCCACAGTATCAGGATGGGTGGTGACAGTGGTCAGCAGAGCTGGGGTCTGTTTAGGGAAACGGCAGGTGGGCAGGAATCACCCAGGCCATACTGGGCACGGGGACCACACTGACCTGTTAGGTCAATTAGTCCTGCACATGTTTCCACTTCACTGGTGAGGACGTGGAGCTGCTGGTGAGGCTGAATAGTAGAGGACGCGCTGCCCATTGTTCATGTCTAGCTCCAGGGGAGCCCCAGCCCCTGGTTTGAGGGTGCCCAAGCTCTTCTTGGGTGGCTGTTGGGTTTTCAGGAAATACCCTGTTTCTGGGCCCTGACCAAGAGAGGAGCTGGCCATGCTGGGCCGTTCATAGGGACCCAAGGGAAGGACGGGAGGGGTAGAGTTTCCAGTGCATGGCCTGAGCTGTGGCTTCTACTGCCAGGGCTGACAGTGTCTGTCTGTCACAGGAGGACACAGCCTAGGGTCAGGGTATGGTCCTGCTACCTCATCACCTCCAGGCAGAGTGGGGTGGGGAGCAGAGAACGTCTGCAGGGGAGGTGTCTGGTACCTGCAGCAGGATCTGAGGCACCCGTCTGCCCCCAGCGGGAGCTGGTGTACTGCTTGGAGCAAGGCCTCATTTACCGATGTGCCAGCCAGTGTGTGGTGGCCCTGGCCGTGTGCAGTGTGGAGATGCCAGACGTCATCATCAAGGCACTGCCTGTGCTGATCGTCAAGCTCACGCACATCTCTGCCACGGCCAGCATGGCTGTGCCGCTGCTCGAGTTCCTCTCCAGTGAGTACACACACGTGTGTGAGTGTGTGTGCACGTTTCTGCCACGGCTAGCATGGCCGTCCCGCTGCTCGGGTTTCTGTCCAGTGTGAGTGAGCGAGCATGCTTATGTGTGCGTGTGCAACGAGCATGTGTGTATGTGGTTGTCTGCATGTGTGCATATATAGATAAGTATTCGTTAAAGTGCACGTGTGTACATGTACGAGTGTTTGCGTGAGTGCAGGTGAATGTGGGTGGGTGTGTACATAGGTGTGTTTGCATGTGTGGTAGACCCTTGAGAGGGGACGCCAGCTGCTCACATCAGGGCCCTGGCTCTTGCTCACCTGTGCTGGCCGTTGGTGGCGTGTTCTCTCTTGGGTGGTGTGTAGTGCACTGGGCCGCGTGGAGGTTCTGGCACATGCTACCTCACCGTCTCGGGGCATTTGCCTCTAGCGGCCCAGCCAGGGCTGTGCCTCTCTTGTCTCGGTGAGACTGCCCTTTGCTGTCAGCCCCTCACCTTGGCTCCACTGCACTCACTCCATGGCTGGGAGGGTGTTGCTCACGCGCCTCACTGCCCCTGCTTACCCTGTTCCCAGCGCCTGTGTGCGTGTCTGCGGGTCGCTGGCCCACAGGTATCAGAGGGAGAGATGGCACTGGCTGACTTTGTAAAGGGCCGGAGAGTGAACAGCTGTGGGTTTGCAGGCCTCAAATCCTGTCTGCCCTGTGTTCCGTTTTGTTAACAACCCTTTAAAATTGAGATAGCTCGTCTTAGCTCCTGGGCCCTGAAAATACAGGCCACACTCAGCCTGGCGTTGTCCTTTGGAACAGAGCCGAGGTCACAGGTTGGGGAGCTCCACTTGGGTGGGCTTGCAGCCTCTACTCTTGGTGGCACCTACTCCCGGGTTGAAGTGGCTTTGGGGGTGCCGGTGGCTGTGGTAGCTCCTGGGTGGCCGGAGTGCCCCTGACCAACGTCTCTGCTGGTGCCCAGCTCTGGCGCGGCTGCCACACCTCTACAGGAACTTTGCTGCCGAGCAGTATGCCAGCGTGTTCGCCATCTCGCTGCCCTACACCAACCCATCCAAGTGAGTGCTGCGGGGCTCCCCACCCCCCCCCCCCCTTGCTGGACCCCAGCCCCACCCCCAGCTGCAGGCCCCACCCTAGCCCCGTGCTCTACCTCTAGCCGAGGCTCTACCCCAGCCCTGCTGCCCGGCTGCAGGCCCCACCCCCAGCTTGGCCACACTCCTGCAAACCCCACCCCCACCCCAAGCTCTGACAGCCAGTGGCCAACTCTGGCTGGCTGGCTTCCCCTGGGGCTGGTATGGGCCTCCACAGCTGGTTCCTTCCTAGGTTCAACCAGTACATCGTGTGTCTGGCCCACCACGTAATAGCCATGTGGTTCATCCGGTGCCGTCTGCCCCTCCGGAAAGACTTTGTTCCTTACATCACTAAGGTGGGTGATCGGGGCGTGTCCCTCACGGGGGCAGGCCCTGCTGAGTTGCAGCAGGGGAGGTGGCTAGTTTGTGGTGCCTGCCTGTAGAGTGGCACTTGCACAGCCCACCAGGGCAGTACAGCTCGGTGTGGAGGAAGGAGCCTGCAGGTACTCTGAGGCCTGTCTATCCCCAGCCTCATGGTCTGTGCCAACCCTCAGGGCCTTCGCTCCAACGTCCTCCTGTCTTTTGATGACACCCCTGAGAAGGACAGCTTCAGAGCGCGGAGCACCAGTCTCAACGAGAGGCCCAAGAGGTATGGGGCTTGGGGGCCTGGGGTCAGGTAGGGTGGTCAGGACTGTGTCTTGAGCCAGGTGGGAGCACGTAGTGCGAGGGCTGAGATGCGTGGGGTGTTACAAGGCAGCATAGGGTCCCCACAGGCCTGTGAGCCCAGCGTTCCCGCCACCGCGTGCCCCTGGCTCTGGGGCCTGGGTTGAGGTCACACTGCACTGAGCAGGGGCTCCGTTGTGGCAGCAGGGCCTTCTGAGAAGCCACGCGCAAGCCACGCGCTGCTGCCTGGGTGGGAGGGACTTTGGGCCACAGAGCTCCCTGGCTCTCCACCTGGCTAGTCGGCCTGCCCCCGGCCAGTCTGATCCTTTCCCTGCAGCACCTGCCCTGCCGAGCCCGCTCCCCTCCACCGTCCGGGGCGAGCTGTGCCGGGTCTCTGTTCTTGTTTGCATCTCATTCAGCGGCTGCCAGCCACCCCCCACCCCCAGCTGCTTCGTCTCCCTTAGGTGGGGTACGGCACTTTCCAGAATGACCAGGTTAGAGGGCCTCAACTTGGAAGCTGGTGCTTCCCCCTGGGGCCTGGGCAGCAGGCTTGGCCTGCGTAGACCTCAAGCCCAGGGCCAGCCCCTTTTCCAACAACTGTTGGCCAGCCAGGGGCCTGAGGGCCTGGCCAGGGAGCTGGAACCTGCCGTGCACCCGTCCTCCAGTGTCCCTGGCGCTGGTGTCTCTGTTGTAGCATCACACTTGAAACCTCGCTGTGGCCGGTCCTGCCAGCGAGACGTGTTCATGCGTTTTGTTTTCTGTTTCTCTCCCTGCATTCTGCCCCTCCGGCATGGCCTCTTGTTGCTCTCACTCGCGGCATTCTCCACCTGACCCTGTGGCCTTTCTCTTCCGTTCCTCCGATGGCTTGCCCTGCCCTGCCCTCCCCTGGAGCGGGCTCTGTGGGGCGTGGCGCTTCCTCCTCCCTCCCTGCCCTCCCCGGTAGTTTGAGGATAGCCAGGCCCCTCAGACAAGGCCCGAGTAACTCTGCGCCCGGGAAAGAGCGTCAGGAGAGCTGTGCGGCCGAGGCCTTCCGGTGTCGCAGCATCAGTGTATCTGAGCAGGTCGTCCGCAGGTAGTGCCACGTGGCGGCGAGGGGCGTGGAGCACAGCTTGGCCCCGTGACGTGCGGCCCGGTGGGCGCACTCGGGTGGCGGTGCATGGGGCTGCTTGCATGACCTCCGTCGCCCGCCCACACCCTCCCTGGCCGGAGCTGCAGGGTGGCCCGAGGTGGCCCCTGGGCCGGTCCTCTCAGGCCCAGCCCCCAGCCCAGGGGAGCCTGGTGGCAAGGGGTGAAAGGTTGCATTCTGTCCCCAAGCCTGGAGAGGGCACGAGGTGGTTGCACAGCCTGCTGGCTCTCTCAAGGCCAGATGGGGGTGTCCTCCGTGGGAAGCGGGCCCTGACGGGAAGGAGGGGCCTCAGGCGGCCATCGATGTGGCAGGACAAGGCAGGGGCACTGTCTCCTGAGCATTGGCCTTTCTGTGCTCTGCAGCGTGGGCCTTTTTCCAGGAATACCCGTCTTCTGGGTGTCTGAAAGAAACCAAGGGCTTCGGGGTAGGCACTGGGTGTGCGTCCTGCCTGTGGGCACAGCCCCCTGGATAAGGCGGATCTGGACCCCTGCTGGTGTCCGGGCAGCGTGGCTGTGGGCATTCTGCTGTGTGCTCGTTGAGGACAGAGCCCCGGAGCTGCTTGCCTGGGGCCTCCCTGCTGGGTTTGGGCTCCAGCCCTGCCCTGGTCTCTGGGGAGGACTTGGCAGGTCATAGAAGGTACAGCGCGTAAGGGAGACCCCTCCCAGCTGTTTTCTGGCAAATTCTTTATCGGGAGCAAAACCAGGCTGCAAAATTGGTGAGAGGATTTGGCCTCTGGTTTCCTCCTGGCCAATGGGGTGGGCACCAGTTTGGGGGCCTTGGGCAGTTTCAGGGCCCCCTGCGTGTGTGCAAAGCCCAGACCCTGAACACGCCTCCCAGAGAGGTGGCAGCCCTCCTGGGGTGGCATCACGGGTCCGGCTCTGTGGGCAGAATGCAATCTTGGTGTTTTGGGTGTCGTTCTTTGCATGACTGAACTTAACCTGCCACGAAGCCCTAACTCTCCACGTGCTTTCATCTCCTGAGCCTCTCCTGTCACAACCAGGCCTGGGGACAGTGTGGTCCACACCACGGGCAGTGCCTCCATGCTGCGCCCTGCACGGTGTGGGCACGGCCGGCCCCCGAGTGCGTGCATGCGTTGAGCTTTGGCCCAAGGTGGTAGCAGTGAGGTCTGGCCACAGAGCTCTGACCGCGGCCGGCCTTTTCCTCAGTAGGATCCAGACCTCGCTTACCAGCGCCAGCTTGGGCTCTGCGGACGAGAACTCCATGGCCCAGGCTGATGACAGCCTGAAGAACCTCCACTTGGAGCTTACTGAGACTTGTCTGGACATGATGGCTAGATATGTGTTCTCGAACTTCACAGCCGTCCCCAAGAGGTGCGACCCCACGTCTGGGCTGGGCCAGGCCAGGCTAGCCTGGGCAGCGCAGCGCTCCCGGCTTGCTGGTCTTGGCTTGCGCTTGGGGATGCAGCCGTGGGTCTGTCACCCTGAGAATCGGAGGCTGGCGGTGAGGGGTGAAAGGTTGCATTCTGAGGCACCCTGAGAACCGGAGGCTCGGCTGTGCTGGGGTGTCAGCACGTGGCCTATGCTCCCGCCTTCAGGAGCTGGCCTTACGCTTGCAGGTCACCTGTGGGAGAGTTCCTCCTGGCAGGAGGTAGGACCAAGACCTGGCTGGTGGGGAACAAGCTGGTCACCGTGACGACGAGTGTAGGGACTGGCACGCGTTCACTACTGGGCCTGGATCCTGGCGAGCAGCAGGGAGGCCCAGAGCTGAGGTGTGTGCGGCCCCGCCCCCTGGCCTTGAGGTGGCCGCTGCCCCAAGACCACAGGCGTCCTCACGTGCTCGTGGGGCATTTCTGTCAGCTCCGACCACAGCGTGCACGTGAGGCAGACGAAGGAGGCGCCCGCCAAACTGGAGTCCCAGGCGGGGGTGCAGCTGTGCTGTGGAGCCCGGGACCGGGTCCGCTCCATGTCAGGTAGGCCCTGTGCGTCTGGCATCCCCGTGCTGGGAGGCCCCTTGGCAGCCCCCTCCTGGCTGGCGACAGGTGTTGCAGTCACATGCCCTCTCCAGGGCTGCTGGAGGCCTGGTCTTGTCATAGGTTTCCCTGTAGTCTCTGGGCTTGCCTATTTCAGGGTGCTTCTGTCTGTCCTGGCTCCAGTGAGCCTGGGTCCAGCTGTGGAGTGGGCAGGGCCCTTCCTGAGCTGTGTGGCTGGGGCCACGTGGCCAGTGGCTATGTGGTCAACAGCTGTGCCACGGACAGTGTGAGCTGCTACCGGCCTTGGCTCTCTCAGGGCCCAGGGGTGAGCAGGTGGCCTTCCACAGGGAGGTAGTCACCAGATTTTTGGCTTCTCCTCCTCCAGGGGGCCATGGTCTACGTGTGGGAGCCCTGGACAGTCCAGCCTCCCACTTCCCAGGAGGCCCCACTTCTCCCGGGTCAGAGACAGTGCTGGCCACAGAGCCCGAGCAGGCCTCCCCCAGGACCCAGGCACCAGCACCGAGGAAGACAAACCTGGCCGCCTACGTGCCCCTGCTGACACAGGGCTGGGCCGAGATCCTGGTCCGCAGGCCCACAGGTGCGGGCCGGCCTCCTGGGCGCTGCGTTGGGCTGCAGGGAGCTGATGCACAGTGGGTATAGGGAGGACCACGAGGTCCAGGCCTGTGGGGCCTTTGGGGCAGTATGCTTAGAGCAGCGAGGGGCAGGGTGTAGGCCTTGCCGACAGCATCGGGGAGCCGAGGGCTGACCAGGAACGGCTGCAGCCCTTAGCCTTTGTTCTTGCTGGGAAGGAGCAGAAGGCATGTGGTCAGCTTGGCACACACTGAGTGCTGGAGGTGCAGGAAGGGCAGCTGAGTTGAGACGTGGCTTCCCCAGCTGTGTGCCTGCTCCTCTGGGGAGCAGTCTGGCCTTGTTGGCTGCCGTGAGCCGAGGCCTCTGGTCATCACCGAGCCTGGCCTCAGCCGGCTCTTGGGACCCCGCAAGACAGGCTGTGCATGGGGCCTGGTCCCAGTTCTCCTTGGCCCCTCCCTGTGGCTCCTGTCATTGAGGGTAAGCCGTCCAGACCACCCAAGAGGGTGCTGTGCTGTTGAGGATGGCGCCTGGGAGTTGCCCTGCCAGGAAGGGCTGCTGGGCCCAAGCCTAACAGTGCTCCTGCCCGCAGGGAACACCAGCTGGCTAATGAGCCTGGAGAACCCACTGAGCCCCTTCTCCTCGGACATCAACAACACGCCGCTGCAGGAGCTGTCCAACGCCCTCATGGCTGCTGAGCGCTTTAAGGAGCACCGTGACACAGCCCTGTACAAGTCGCTGTCGGTGCCCACAGCCAGCACCCCCAAGCCTTCCCTTCTGCCCCGCTCCAACACAGGTGAGCGTGGCGGCCCCCGTGTGGCCTGTCCTGCCCAGTGCCTGGGATTCACTGCTGGCTGGGAGCTTGTACCTTTAGCTGTGGGGCTACACCCAGTCTCCATGCTCCCTCTGGGCACCGCTACCCCAGAGCACTGGGAGTTCCTGGAGTGCCAGCCTGGACCTGCCCATGCCCAAGGCTGCAGGTGTATATGGGCCGAGGGGCAGTGGACCTGACATGCGCCAGGCCTCTCAGAAGGAAGGCCAGGCCCTGTGAGCACCACCGCCGGCCCCAGGCCGGGCGCTGCTGGCCTCCCTCTCTCCTCCACAGGGCTCGGGCCTGTGCAGGGCGAGTCGCGACTGTCCTCTCTGCTCGACCTGTGCTAGTCTGTCCTTCCTGTGACGTGCAGCTCACGTGGCTTCCCTTGCAGTGGCCTCTTTCTGCTCCCTGAGCCAGTCCAGCTGCCGAGGAAAGCTGCACAGGAGTGTTTCCTGGGCAGGTACTCGCGCGGCTCAGGGAGCGGTGTTGGCACAGAAGCCCTCCGCCCCTAGATGCTGTTCTCATCGCCCCCATCTGCTCACCTTCCGTGGGCCCCGTGGAGCCACCCTTGCTGCCCGCCCTCTGGGAGCAGGGCCCCGACTCTCACAAGGATGTCTGTGCAGACGCCATCTGTCTTGCTGGTGGGACCCCGGCCTTGCGCCCTGTGCCGACCTCTGCACCAAAGCTGTGTGTCCCCCTCCCGCCTCCTGCTGAGGTGACCTTGGCCTGGCCTCTTGGGCTGTGATCAGATTGTGGACCAGCAGGTTGGGCTGCATCCACCTTCCCTGCGGTCTGGTCTCTGCCCGTGGCCCCCGGTATGGCAGGGCAGTGTGGGGACGGGTGCTGTAGTCTGGTCTCTGTCCATGGGCCCCGGTGTGGCAGGGCAGTGTGGGGACGGGTCCTGTGGGCTGGTCTCTGTCCACGGCCCCTGGTGTGGCAGGGCAGTGTGGGGACGGGTGCTGTAGTCTGGTGTCTGCCCGTGGCCCCCGGTGTGGCAGGGCAGTGTGGGGACGGGTCCTGTGGGCTGGTCTCTGCCCGTGGCCCCCGGTGTGGCAGGGCAGTGTGGG